CCCCCCCCCCTGCGCAGCCCCATTCTCCTGTGGGTTAGCTTCTGCAGGCGACAGGTGGATGTAATTTAATCTGAAATAGCCAATAGCAGACTGGCTATTGAAACCCCTCCCACTGAGCAGAGGAGCGAACCTGAGAAAGAAAGTTGTGTCTCAGTTACGCTCCTCTACTCAGTGGGCGGGTGCAATAGCCAGCCTGCTATTGGCTTTTGCAATTTAAAATAGACGGGGGGGAGTGGTCAAGGCTGCGCCCTAGGTAGCAGTGCGCCCTAGGTGGCTGCCTAGTGGCTGCACCGGCCCTGAGCATACTGTATATAGCTGAATTGGGTGCAGGTTCGCCAGAAGGCAGCCAAACCTCCTTAATTTTGCTTGGTAATGGACAAGAACGTCTTAGTTTATGAGAGCCTCAACTGCAGGTTGCAGTGGAGGAAGAAGAGCACTAACTGAAGTATCCGGAATGAATGATGCTATGATTTTTACAATTGATCTTCACCTAGAATAGTCATTGTTAGAAGTACCTTATTTGACTTGTGGTGTTTAAATTTTTTTGGGGGGGCATTTCGATTTAAAGACAAAGTTTGTTTTTGTAGAATTGTCTCAATTGATGTGACACAATAATTATACATGTAACACAATCAACATTTTACTCCAACATGGAAAAGGTCTTATTTATCGCCGCTTTCCATATCACTGACATGGTGACATTTCTTTATGAATTTTTCATAACAATAGCGCCATATAGTAAAAGTGTTGCAAATACTTGGCGCACGTGACGAGAATAACAATTAAAATATCACAGAGTTTTTAATTTTGTCTGGATCCTCCTCTCCCATTGAGTGACAGCAGCTTGTAGGAGCTGCTGCACGTTCATATGAAGTTTATTCATGTCAGGTCACAGGTCTAGGAACACTAGCACATCCATACCACAATTTGTCCTTCGCCCTCCCTCCCCTCTCTTCTGCACACTTCTGTCTCCAGACAATACACATACTATGGTGCTAAGACCGTCATTTCAGCTCCGCCCTCGCCCTCCTCTCCTCTACTCTGGTGTCTTTATCTCTTCTTCTCCCTGTGTATGTCCCAAGACAGCAGAGTTTGTAGACCTGTGGCCTGACATGAATAAACTTTCATAGGATGTGCCCTGTGCTGCTGCGCCTGCACGGGTTCTCATGATCACGCAGAAGCTCCTACAAGCAGCTGTCACTCAATGGGAGAGGAGGATCCAGACAATATTGTCAGGATCTCTTCTCAGCACAGAGCTTAGCTCCGCCCACAGTATATTACATTAAATTGTAAGCTTACGGTGCATATTTGATTAAAGGAGCACATTGCAAAATGTATTCCTGTATCCTTAGGAAGCTAAAAATGCAAAAAAGATGCACCCCATAGCTCTCCTTTAAGTAATGCTGAAGAACACAGCACAAGCTGCAAAGGTTCTCATCAGTCTCACCTGTGTAACATCTTGTAGTTTCTCCTCTAAGGTATTTATAGTCTTCTTTAGACTGCAGTTTTCATCTAAACATACACATAAGTGTTTAATTATTCGAAGCCAATTTACAGGAACAGTTACTGCAGCTCAGCAAGTGCAATTAATTAGAGAACTGGCCATGGATAACATGTTTATTCTGCAGGCATTGTGTGCCGATTGAAAACAAAGCCAACACGCTTTTTTTACAAGCTGCGATCCTCTATAAATGTTCAATAAAAAAAAGAAATATTGTACCATTTAGCAGGATACCCCACATTCCCTGAGAAAACTGCTATATGCAGTATGAGCATGGCAAGCTGTTTTTTTGTACACTGAGCAAACATAACTGGAAGTAGGGTTTTAGCTTAAAGCCCGTTTCCACCTTTGTAAGTGATTGGTACTTATTGTGGTGATGCAGAGGTGCAGTGATGATGTATATGTGTGTACATTTTCATGACTCACATTGCTGGCTTTTTAAAATTTTTATAGACATTTTAGTAAACCTACAAATTGAAAAAAAAATTTCTCCAGAGGAATCTCAGTCTGACACTGGGGTCAGATTGTCTTGTACAGGCTGTAAAGCAGCTGACCCCCTCCCTGTAAGTCATTGTAACAAAATCACTGAATACCAGCTCTGCCTCTCCAGGTTACTCTGCACTGTTCAGGGGGGGTTGCCCCTATGAATGTTAATGAACGGAGGGAGAGCTCAGAGAGCTCAGTTTCCACAGAGAAGCTTCTGCATGAGGGAAGCATAGCATTGTGGGAAATGCAGTTTTCCATGCCCTACATTGTAGTTCCCACTGTGCGCAGCAGCCAGTAATTTACACAGATTGCTTGCAGAACACAGCCATGAGGAGCCATGAAGAGATGAAGAAGACAGTTAAAAAAAAGTAAATCTTTTTTTAAAAAGCAACGGCATATGCCGGCTTTATGTACACTCGGTGTACATTCTTGGCATATGTTTTTTTTTAAAATACTTCCACAAAGGTGAAAATGGGCTTTAAACTTTGCTTTTAGTTTAAAATGGAGTGAGGGAGGATTGGGTCCTCTGTCAGTTGTTTTTTTTTTGCTGCAATCCTTTTGGGCGGATTTCACCTCTATTTCTGTGTCACTAGTACAAGAATAGTTGAGAAATGGGGAAAAACATCTATCAGGGCTCTTCCACATAGCCGCCTGTGGCTGTACAACATATATTCCGGCATATTTGCCCCGCCAGGGATCCACAGGTACTGCATACAGTCTCCCATTGAAGTCGATGGCTGTACAAGGGCATACGCCAGACTTGCGTGAACAAGCACATGTGTACAGTCGCACAACCCCAAATGCCCCCCGCTGTAACAGTGCGTTAGGGCACCATTTAAAGGGACTGCAGTGATTGCATTACAGTCATGTGCATTAAAACATTAATTTTACCACACAAAGCATTAATGTGAGTGCTCCCTAAGATTTATCTATTGTCCTCTTGAACTTTTAAAATGTAGAAAAAGATAAAAGTATGAGTTCAGGCAGGATTCAGGTTTTCTGTTTTCACATACCCCACACAGTTGCATAATCCATTCACTGGGATCGCTCCCAGTAAATAAGAACACGTCTCTTTTGCCACCATGGCAGAGGGACAGTGCAGAGCTGCGCCGGCTTTCCCTCCTTCCTCATCCCCTTGTAGTCTAACTACGCTTCCTCCACAGCACGTCTATACCTACATAGATCTGGGGCTGGCTGAAAAGTTTGTAGCTGCTTGCGCATTGCACTTGACACATTGATCGCAGGCACAATGACCTGCTGACTTTGTTGCAAAAAATGAATCAATGCACATCGATCATTTGATCAGTGTTGCTGCATTGAACACTGCTGCATTTTGTTTGCAAAAGGTGGACTGTCACTTTAAGCTCATTTGGAAATTAGTAAAGATTGGTACATGGCTTACCTTTCATGTTACATTGTGCTTCCAGTGTCTCCTGCAGCCCTTTTATCGTATTCTGTAATGCTGCACACTCTGTAACATTAATGAGCAGAAACACAGCGATGAATGTGTGCATTTAGCATAAACACAATGAACAAGTTAGTTGTGTTAGGATTTGACACAAAAGCATTCTCATTTTTATGTAAATAATTGTAAAATGTATTTGATTTCAGACACATCTTACTTACAGATACAAAAGTAATGTATTGCTGTATTAAAGTGATTTTCTACCTTTCTTTTAGGGCCCTTGCACGTTGTGTTACTGTGCATTAAAGTGACACTAATCTCAGGAGTTAAACCTTAAAAATACATTCAAGTACCTTAACTATTAACAAAACTGTATCTTATTTGTGTATCACTCGGCTGTAGATCCTCAAATCATCTCTGAATTGGTGCCGACACTGTCCTTCCTTCTGGAGGGGGAGTACTTTTCTTCCCCATGGTCCCTGTGTGTGTTGTAAAGTAGTCACCGCTCCAAGCTCACTCCTGTGCCGTGTTAATTTCATCGACAAAATATCTGTTTGTTTTTTTAAGTCATTTGGCTGTTTTTCCCTGCTGAAAACAAAATACTAGAGCAGTTAACGGGACGAAAACGATGACGAAAATTCTGTGAATTTTCATAAACGAACCGAAAATCGGACTGACGATTGCATGACAACTGAGCACTTCCTCTTCCTGGCATTAGGAAGATGTGCACAATTCAGATTACTGATCTGCCAGCTAACAGCACTTGCTGCACAGCCACAAACTGTACAGGAGACATCATATCAGCAGGGAGAGAGAGAGGAGAAGTATGGATGCATTGTTCATTTGATGCGGACGAGAACCAGACCCTTAGATTTGACCCATGTGGAGCGTCAAATAAGACGAGACCAGTAAACTTACAGTGAGATGCAGAATGTTGCTATGGGAATAGTGAATAGCAGTAACAACTGTTCTTAGTGAGATATTTACCTCTTTTGTCAATACTGAGAGAAAGAGAGGAGTTGATAAGAGTAATGACTGTTATACTTTCCTGCACGATGGCATTGTAGCCTGTGACCTTTTTCTTTGACGGTATTTTGAGAATTAGAATAGTCAGCTGATTGATTCGTCCTCTAGATATAAGCATAATCCATGAGTATGGCTTTTATTATACTGTGGCTGTGCTAGTTGCTGAAACCTGTTGTGGTGTTGAGTAACTTACTTGATACTTGCTTTCATGATTAACAGAGAACTTTTAGTTTTATATTCAGGTAAAATGTAGATGAGAAAATCACTGGCGCCAAAAGAAAAACCGTGGCAACTCTCGCACACAGGGGTAGCTCCTCACAGTCAGGGTAAACCGGTTATCTAAAAAAACAGAGCAAAAGGAGCGCCTCTATAGCGTAAAACAGATTTAATAAAGGTCAAATACAGCTGGAAATGTACTTACAAACGACTTGTAAAAAACGAGCATTGAATATAACGGTCTCAAGTGGATCAAGATGGACAAACGAAAGAACGAGGTGCAGAAACCGGAAGCGTAAGTGTTTAAGCCAGGGCCATCTAGACACTGATCTTCCTCCGGTTGACGCGTTTCAGAGGTTAAACCTCTTTCCTTCATTCTTTCGTTTGTCCATCTTGATCCACTTGAGACCGTTATATTCAATGCTTGTTTTTTACAAGTCGTTTGTAAGTACATTTCCAGCTGTATTTGACCTTTATTAAATCTGTTTTACACTATGGAGGCGCTCCTTTTGCTCTGTTTTTTCAGGTAAAATGTGCAATGGCGTTAAAGTCAATAAAGTTTATTATTTTTAATATAAAGTTGCACGTCTGTTTGTGAAAAAGTAATATTCTTGTTTGTTTATTTTAAGATAATTGAAGACATTCTGTATCAGAACGGCTAAATCTGCATCTGTATTGCATGTTCAAACCTTCATATCATAAGTAATAACAGGTTAATAGAGGTTTACTCAAGGAATATATATAATGAAATTAGTTTGGAAATTCAAATGCAGTGCTTAAATAATGCATTACACTCAGTTGAACCGAAGGGCTGCTCTACGGGCTATTCACTATAGCCCGTACAGCACCCGAAGACGGTTGAGCAGCTCAGCCGAGCCCAAGGCATGTGCTTCAGCTCGACTGAGCCGAAGTGACACACGAAGCGGGACGATTGGCCTGCTGAAGGGCTGGCTGTAAGCCCCGCAAATGACGTCTGCGCAGGGGCCAGCTGTGATCTCACGGCTGGCTCGGCCCAGTTGTAATGACAGATCAGCTTCCCCAAATGACCTGGGGACGCTGATCTGTCATTAAACAATAACAATTGGGCGGAGCCGGCCGTGACGTCAGGAGCTAGCTGTCACTGCGAGCTCTGCCCAATTGTTTTTTTCTTTTGTTTTTGAAATCTTCATTTCTTTTTGTAAATGTAATATTTATTTACATTTAAAAAAATATTTTTTTCAACTTTTTTTTTTCTACTTTTGTCACTATTTGCTATTCTGCTCGGTACCACAGAGGTACTGAGCAGAATAGCCGAGACGAATGCCGCTCGGCCCCTATGTGAATAGGGGCGAACGGCAGTGAGGGGGCTGCCGGAGGTTCGGCTTAGCCGCTCCAGATGTTGGATCGGCTGAGTCGAAGTCCTTCTGACGGAAGTGCAGCCGATGTACGGCTGAAATCAGCCGTACTGAGCCGTAGTGAATAGACGAAGGTTGTTCGGCTCACTTCACTTCAGCTGCGTTATTCACTCGGCTGCCTTCGGCAGCTTTGTGACTAACCCCCTGAAACTAAGACTGAAATGAAATTTGCTGTCAAAATGAACACTGCTCCTGTGATGGACTACAATCTCACGTTTAGTTGATTCATTTGTATTGTGCTTGTAGTCCATCATGGGAGCGAGCTTGGAGCGGTGATTACTTTACAACACACAGGGACCATGGGGAACAAAAGTAGCCACCCTCCAGAAGGAAGGACAGTGTCAGCACCAATACAGAGATGATTTGATGATCTGCAGCCGAGTGATACACAAATAAGATGTATTTTTGTTAATAGTTGAGGTACTTGATTGTATTTTTTAGATTTAACTCCTGAGTTTAGTGTCACTTTAAGACAACACCATGCAATAAAAAAACCCAACAAAACAGAATCTTCTTCATACCTTCCGCAGAACTCTGTTCTTTTGCCTGGCTTATTTTCCCCAATCTGTTTGTTCGCTCCAGCTGAATCTCGAGTAGGTTATTCTTTCCATTAACCTCTACAAATTTCTGTACAGACAAAAACAATGCAATTGTACAAAATGCACTGAACGGAATGGATAATTATTCCACAGAATAATAGCTTGTTGTATGTAGTGATCTGTACCTGCTGCTGGATAATGCTGCTTAGTGCTCTCCAGACATTAATATGTGTATTACACAACACACAGCTGCATCAATTTCCATGAATCAGCCGCTGAAGGCCCCTGATTTGAATTTGTTTTTACTTATTTTCCTCAGCTGAACTGAAGGACCACAATGGGGGACATTTACCAAAACTGGAGCAGACAGAATCTGGAGCTGTTGCCCATAGTAACCACACAGCTTGTCTCTTCGGTCTGTTTGGTTAAGCTATGAAAATGAGAGATGCTGATTGGTTGCCATGGGCATCTGCTGCTGATTCTGTCAGCTCCAGTTTTGATCAATCCCCCCCAATGTGTTTAATGCCCACATTCCCTCTACACATATTTCTGATGCATTCTTCCTCAACATTTTGTGCGTTGCTTCCTTTCCCTAGAATGCACTTCTTCAGTGGAGCCGGATTTTGGTGTTTGCGGACCCCTGGCACCTCACTGCCAAACTGGTCTGGATTTTGGCACCACCAATATAGGCCGCAGGCAAGAGTGACACATAGCCACCCAGACAGGGCCGTCCCTATGGTATTTGCCACCTGGGTTGATCTTGTTCCGGTTGGTGCTGACAGGTAATGTTCACTACCAGGAGCTCAGCGGGATGCAGGATGGAGCGTTCCGCTCAGCTCTAGGCAACCGCTGATGTCTGGGAAGTGGGGCGGGACCCCAGATAGAGTGCCACAGGTTGCTAATAGCTCTTAGCAACCTGGGATGCCATGCTAGGGTTACCACCTTTTCTTCAAGCGAAACCCGAACACTCTAGTGAAGCGCGGACATTTTTGGGGGAGAATGGGTCGCGGCTTATTCATATGTAAATAGTGTCACCCATTCATATGTAAATATCACAGTTGAGACTATTTTCAGTGCGGGGGCGGGTTAACAGTCCCTATCTTATCTTTGGTTGCCCCTGTCTGCCCGACATCTTGTGTCCGGGTTTCTGCTGCCATGAAACCCGGACATAGCATTCAAAACCCGGACTGTCCGGGTGAATCCTGGACAGGTGGCAACCCTATGCCGTGCCCTGCTGACAGGCAACCACCTCAGGCTGCCTCATTATAGAGCCGACCCTACTCCCAGAGGTCATGTTGGCTGTCAGTAACACAATTCCATGTATAGGGCTCATGAATATTCATGAGGTAATAAAGGAGTATTTGCATGCAGCATAAAATATGCCTGTATTTGCGGCACTCAGGGGCACACAGCTTTCTGTCTATAGCAATGTATGGTATGCTGCACATGGGTGTTCGCCTGTAAGCACCGGTGCTGGCATGTACACAGGCTTATGTTTCCGAACCCTGAAGTATCCTGTTCAGAAACTTAAGCCCATGTGTGTGAAAATGGCGTTTACTGGGTTTACCGTCACCGTTTTCTGTCCATACATTGCTATGGACAGAAAACCGCAGACACTGCAAATACAAGCGTACTTTACACTGTGCAAATAAAACTTTATTTGTTCACAAGTACGCCCCTCCGTGTGGGCCAAAATTAAAGGGTGGGTCCTCATTGTTTCTGTTTAATATAAACAGACTGCACATAGGAATGGAAAGCCAGGGAGACCTATGAAGAGTTAGCTAATGCACGGCAGAGATGTAAATGGGCCTGGAATCCCCGACAAGAATGTTTCCTATTATCTCCCTCATTAGAAATTTGCAGGGGCAAATCTCTGGACTGTCCCAAGCCACAGATTCACCTTCTCGATCTGTGAATAATCCTCCAGAAGTTTATCAAGATTGACAGAAGTGTGTTTCTCCATCTTTGTTCATAGTATGGCGGCCTCACAATACACGGCCTGTCACAGAGATTTTGGCGCCTTTCCTCGGTGTCAGTCCCTGTCAGTATGGAGTGCACACGACATGCTCCAGACCGGGGCATGTGACACGCATCATATCAGAATATTACTGCCAGAAAATGGAACCTTTGTTTTATAAAAACAATATAATTTCTTCATCATAAAAATGCTTGTATTTGTGTAGATAATACATTTTATATTATAGCAGAGGTGAGTGGGAAACTGTATTACAGAGCACCCCCGTGTTGTGTTTTGGTGCAGTCCATTGTCTAGCATTTACCTCAGAGATCACATGACTTTACAGTGCTACTCAGGGAGGATGAATGAAACCATGACATGATGGGCTCTTCCGGCTTGTCAGGGAATAAGAGAAAACTTAACCGCTTGAAGACTAGGGGGGGGGGGGGGGTTTATCAAAACCGGGGCACACAAAGAGTGACACATAGCCACCCAGACAGGGCCGTCCCTATGGTATTTGCCACCTGGGTTGATCTTGTTCCGGTTGGTGCTGACAGGTAATGTTCACTACCAGGAGCTCAGCGGGATGCAGGATGGAGCGTTCCGCTCAGCTCTAGGCAACCGCTGATGTCTGGGAAGTGGGGCGGGACCCCAGATAGAGTGCCACAGGTTGCTAATAGCTCTTAGCAACCTGGGATGCCATGCTAGGGTTACCACCTTTTCTTCAAGCGAAACCCGAACACTCTAGTGAAGCGCGGACATTTTTGGGGGAGAATGGGTCGCGGCTTATTCATATGTAAATAGTGTCACCCATTCATATGTAAATATCACAGTTGAGACTATTTTCAGTGCGGGGGCGGGTTAACAGTCCCTATCTTATCTTTGGTTGCCCCTGTCTGCCCGACATCTTGTGTCCGGGTTTCTGCTGCCATGAAACCCGGACATAGCATTCAAAACCCGGACTGTCCGGGTGAATCCTGGACAGGTGGCAACCCTATGCCGTGCCCTGCTGACAGGCAACCACCTCAGGCTGCCTCATTATAGAGCCGACCCTACTCCCAGAGGTCATGTTGGCTGTCAGTAACACAATTCCATGTATAGGGCTCATGAATATTCATGAGGTAATAAAGGAGTATTTGCATGCAGCATAAAATATGCCTGTATTTGCGGCACTCAGGGGCACACAGCTTTCTGTCTATAGCAATGTATGGTATGCTGCACATGGGTGTTCGCCTGTAAGCACCGGTGCTGGCATGTACACAGGCTTATGTTTCCGAACCCTGAAGTATCCTGTTCAGAAACTTAAGCCCATGTGTGTGAAAATGGCGTTTACTGGGTTTACCGTCACCGTTTTCTGTCCATACATTGCTATGGACAGAAAACCGCAGACACTGCAAATACAAGCGTACTTTACACTGTGCAAATAAAACTTTATTTGTTCACAAGTACGCCCCTCCGTGTGGGCCAAAATTAAAGGGTGGGTCCTCATTGTTTCTGTTTAATATAAACAGACTGCACATAGGAATGGAAAGCCAGGGAGACCTATGAAGAGTTAGCTAATGCACGGCAGAGATGTAAATGGGCCTGGAATCCCCGACAAGAATGTTTCCTATTATCTCCCTCATTAGAAATTTGCAGGGGCAAATCTCTGGACTGTCCCAAGCCACAGATTCACCTTCTCGATCTGTGAATAATCCTCCAGAAGTTTATCAAGATTGACAGAAGTGTGTTTCTCCATCTTTGTTCATAGTATGGCGGCCTCACAATACACGGCCTGTCACAGAGATTTTGGCGCCTTTCCTCGGTGTCAGTCCCTGTCAGTATGGAGTGCACACGACATGCTCCAGACCGGGGCATGTGACACGCATCATATCAGAATATTACTGCCAGAAAATGGAACCTTTGTTTTATAAAAAAAATATAATTTCTTCATCATAAAAATGCTTGTATTTGTGTAGATAATACATTTTATATTATAGCAGAGGTGAGTGGGAAACTGTATTACAGAGCACCCCCGTGTTGTGTTTTGGTGCAGTCCATTGTCTAGCATTTACCTCAGAGATCACATGACTTTACAGTGCTACTCAGGGAGGATGAATGAAACCATGACATGATGGGCTCTTCCGGCTTGTCAGGGAATAAGAGAAAACTT